TCTTTTTCAGGTTTGTCGCAATCTGTAAAACTTGAATTTGCAGTTAGCGCATATAAGGAAGCTCTGTTTGATTAGACCTTTCTCATATGCCGTGTATTCGTTGTGCAGAAGATAGTTTTTATCTCCGCAGAGGTCACTGTCTAAACAATGGGGTGGAAAGCACCGGTCTCTGGCTGCTTGACGTTCATCGCCTCATTAGGTGAAGCTGCGCCCACACTTTCGAGAACGATAAAAGCAGAGCATTTCAACAACATTTAAACAAGTTGTTTTTATACAGCCAAGAAATATTACGACGATTCCTTAGCTTCTGGAAGAAACTAAGTAAAATAAAGGCAAAGGTAAAAAGTATCAGTCCATACAGAAAATTTTGGCACATGACTGATTTTACAGAAAAGTAGATTATTAGCACTGAAGAAATATAACAAGAAATTTCTCGTAACAAATTTTATTTTTTTAAATTTAGGCTAAGCGATTTTATGACAACTGATAAAATTACAAAAAAATCCAGTCGAAATAGATAGTGTTAACATCATCTAATCAGATAGAATAATTTTCTCTCAGCCATATTACAGAAAACTTCATGAAAAGCATGACTATCGAATAAGACATGTATTGAAATCTGGACTAATTAACAAGTAATGCATTTCGGTATAATTAAAGCAATAAATGATTATGATTGTACGATATAGTTTAATATGCATAGGATCCAAGGAATGCAAAAAATACAAAACTGCAAAGGTTAGAAAGTGCCGCATATGATAATCAGGAATGCACTCTTGCAAAGGAGGGGTTACAAAATTCTCGACAAATGCAGCAGCACAAAAGAGGAGAGAACTACCTCAGTGGCTGCCGAGTTGCTCGCATTTGTGACGCCAGTTTCTAATACGAAAAATAGGATGTAATTTGGCATACATGTGATGCCCCAAGCGTAAGTAATGTGGGGTACCGACGGTTTCTCCATGATAAGGTACAGGATCTTACTGAAATGAGAAAGAACTCCCTCTTCGTTCCCTGTCCCCCCTGCAGGTAAACATCCCGATTTAGACCTTGAAAGTCATTTTTGCAAGCGTTGCCTATTGAAACCTACTTCCTCTTGTCCGCCAGCCAATGAAGAAGTGTTGCAAGCATGAGGGTTGGGCGAGGATGAGGTTTGGCTTTTCTGTCTAATTTTAAAATTAGCCATCAAAATTGATGTCATCAGAGATCCTTTGTCGTCGATCCAGCAATATATCAATGGTGAGGCCCCCTCTTTAGGCACCCTAGCCCAGGGCTCAAAGTCACGAGGCGGTAGTCGTATACACAGAGGCTACTGTTTTTATCCACCTTCTTGATTCACGGGAGGCCGACTGAAGCAGTGCAGATGTGTGCCACCATTGCAGCGTTTTCATTGGCTTGTCAAATTCTTTTTCAGGTTTGTCGCAATCTGTAAAACTTGAATTTGCAGTTAGCGCATATAAGGAAGCTCTGTTTGATTAGACCTTTCTCATATGCCGTGTATTCGTTGTGCAGAAGATAGTTTTTATCTCCGCAGAGGTCACTGTCTAAACAATGGGGTGGAAAGCACCGGTCTCTGGCTGCTTGACGTTCATCGCCTCATTAGGTGAAGCTGCGCCCACACTTTCGAGAACGATAAAAGCAGAGCATTTCAACAACATTTAAACAAGTTGTTTTTATACAGCCAAGAAATATTACGACGATTCCTTAGCTTCTGGAAGAAACTAAGTAAAATAAAGGCAAAGGTAAAAAGTATCAGTCCATACAGAAAATTTTGGCACATGACTGATTTTACAGAAAAGTAGATTATTAGCACTGAAGAAATATAACAAGAAATTTCTCGTAACAAATTTTATTTTTTTAAATTTAGGCTAAGCGATTTTATGACAACTGATAAAATTACAAAAAAATCCAGTCGAAATAGATAGTGTTAACATCATCTAATCAGATAGAATAATTTTCTCTCAGCCATATTACAGAAAACTTCATGAAAAGCATGACTATCGAATAAGACATGTATTGAAATCTGGACTAATTAACAAGTAATGCATTTCGGTATAATTAAAGCAATAAATGATTATGATTGTACGATATAGTTTAATATGCATAGGATCCAAGGAATGCAAAAAATACAAAACTGCAAAGGTTAGAAAGTGCCGCATATGATAATCAGGAATGCACTCTTGCAAAGGAGGGGTTACAAAATTCTCGACAAATGCAGCAGCACAAAAGAGGAGAGAACTACCTCAGTGGCTGCCGAGTTGCTCGCATTTGTGACGCCAGTTTCTAATACGAAAAATAGGATGTAATTTGGCATACATGTGATGCCCCAAGCGTAAGTAATGTGGGGTACCGACGGTTTCTCCATGATAAGGTACAGGATCTTACTGAAATGAGAAAGAACTCCCTCTTCGTTCCCTGTCCCCCCTGCAGGTAAACATCCCGATTTAGACCTTGAAAGTCATTTTTGCAAGCGTTGCCTATTGAAACCTACTTCCTCTTGTCCGCCAGCCAATGAAGAAGTGTTGCAAGCATGAGGGTTGGGCGAGGATGAGGTTTGGCTTTTCTGTCTAATTTTAAAATTAGCCATCAAAATTGATGTCATCAGAGATCCTTTGTCGTCGATCCAGCAATATATCAATGGTGAGGCCCCCTCTTTAGGCACCCTAGCCCAGGGCTCAAAGTCACGAGGCGGTAGTCGTATACACAGAGGCTACTGTTTTTATCCACCTTCTTGATTCACGGGAGGCCGACTGAAGCAGTGCAGATGTGTGCCACCATTGCAGCGTTTTCATTGGCTTGTCAAATTTCTGAAAAACCGGTAGTCACTTTTAGACTTGGGCGACTCCTAGTACAATAAAATAATAGAAAAAGTTGAAGCAATTTACATTTGAGGCACTTTAGAACCGAAATTCCACTTGTTTTTCCAAATTTTTTT